GCCTGGGGGGCTCAGTTGGTTAAGCCTCCGACTTCGGCTCAGGTCATGATCTCGCGGTCCGTGAGTTCGAGCCCCGCGTCAGGCTCTGTGCTGACAGCTCAGAGCCTGGAGCCTGTTTCAGATTCTGTGTCTCCCTCTCTCTCTGACCCTCCCCTGTTCATGCTCTGTCTCTCCCTGTCTCAAAAATAAATAAACGTTAAAAAAAAAAAATTAAAAAAAAAATAGTAACTCTTTTTACTCTCACAAGTACTATAGTTTAGACAGTCAATGAAATAATCACCTTATTTATGGATGAATATATATTTCCTCCCAATTGTTTAAAGCCCCTTCAATCAATTGCTAGTGATGAATGAATCTACTGATTTGAAACTAGACTTCTTATCTCTCTCACTTTCTAAGAACTAAGAAAATGCCACAGTTAACTGGCACATAAACTATGAAACTATAATTCAGCTTTTTAAAGTCTTACCTATGTCAAAGAGCTTTCGCTTATCCCTTAGAATTTATTTCTCGATGCACAGGGCTGTAAGCCTTTAAATGAGATTCTTAAATGGAGACTTACACATCAAAACTTCTGCAAATGCTCTGAATCCAAATCCCCACAAAATGAAGCATACAGAACCATGTGAGTCACCAGAGGCAAAGGACTCTCATGGCCTCCTCCAGCCTGCTGGACTAGTCCTCCTTCTCATTACTACTTCACTGTGCAAGGTTTGGGCAACCAAGAACCTAGAAGCTGCCCCAAAACATCAGGGACTGATATTAAAACTGAGTGCCATTATCTCTCCACTACTGCCAGAACTAATCCCACTTTACACCATATGCATCTCAGCAAACCTCTCTGGTCTGTCACCCGTACCCGGAAGTCCAGCCCCAAACTGCTCTCCATTCCTGATCTGAGTCCACCTTCTCAGGCCCTCCTTCCTCCCCCATCTCTTTCACCAAGCCCCCAGGAATTCCTGCTGTGGTAAATTACACCCTTTGTGGTCAATTACACCCTTTAGAATCTCCACCTCTTTCAACCTTAATGTCTTTTTGTGTAACTAAACACTAAAAGTCCACAGCCCCTTAGCTAAAAGCTGGTTTTTTGTTTGTTTTTTAATCTTACCTCAGTGTATGAGGGCCAGGACTAGAAGAGAAGCCTTTTTGCTCTCCAGTTTGGCTTTCAGACCATTACCACCCCTCATTCCAGAGGAAAAACCTGCTGGCTCCTGTTAGGATCATGCATGGCTCTACCACCTTACCCCTTGCTTTTCTACTCTCATTTACTAGAACCCCTAGTCATTTCCCCTCACTTGCTAAAGACTGACTCCTGACTCAGTCTTGCTGTATGCCAACAACTGTCATCCTCAGTGACAGCACTGCAGATGACCTGTTTAATTCTCTGGCTTCTCAGGTACTTCATTTTCTAAACTCCCAAGACCATTTCTTCCAATCTATCTCAAGCACTCTTTTTTAAGCCCACAAATGGACTTTGTCATCACCAGCAATTCATCACCTCTGAAATCTTTATTTTGGACATTTACTACCTTCTTTTTCTTCTTTCTTATGAATTTTTTATATTTATTTTTTATATTTTTTCAAGTGTATTTATTTTGGGGGGGAGGGGGGACAGGGAAAGAGAGAGAGAGGGAGAGAGGGAGAGAGGGAGGGAGGGAGGGAGGGAGGGAGGGAGTAGAAGGGAGCAGGAGGGAGGGAGGGAGAGGGACAAGGAGAGAGAGAGAAAGAGAGAAAATCCCAAGCAGGCTCCACACTGTCAGGGCAGAACCTGCTTGAACTCAGGAACTGTGAGATCATGACCTGAGCCAAAATCAAGGGTTGGTAGTGTAACCATCTGAGCCACCCAGGTGCCCCTATTTTATTTTGAATATATAAAGTTGGTTCTGGAATTAGTTTTGGGTTTTTTTTTTTTAAGATTTTATTTTTACATAATCTCTAACACCGAACATGGGGCTCAAACTCACAACTCCGAGATCGAGTCACATGCTGTACCAACTGAGCCAGCCAAGCACCCCTATTATTTAGTTTTTAAGTTTTCTTTTTTTAATTTAATTTTTTTATTCAAGTACAATTAACATATAGCATGAGCTTCAGGTATACAATATAATGATACATCAGTATCTCAAAATGCTGCTGATAAATGACCATCCCAAGATTTTAAGTCTGAATACAACCCAAAGTGGAGATAAGGTCAAACAAAAATTATGTCAGACCAGAAAGCAGTTATCAAGAAAAACCCTCTATTTCTATTACTCTTGCTAAAACACACACACACACACACACACACACCCCTCTTAAACTACTTACAGATCTCTACGTAAAATGTTACATGAAGAAGATTAACATGTTTTTATATACTCCTTATAGCACTAACCAACAGGTTTTCTTAGAACCAAACACTGAATAAAATCACTAGCAAAGAACAGTTTAGAAAGAGCTGCTGCTGAAAGGGCCCCGCAACAGTATCAGTTACCTGAACCCTGGGATCCACTCTTCTGAGGGCCGGCGGCAGTGACCTGAGCCTTGGTTAAGGCTTGCACCGGCTGAGCAACAATGGTGCCTCCACCTCCGCTCACAATTGCTTTGGCAACTCCTTGGGTCACAACTTGCTTTGGACCAACAGCTTTGGCAACAGAAGAGCTGGCCTTGGCTACAAGGATTTGGCCGCCACTGATTGCTACAGCCTGTTTCACTGCTGAAGGTAAAGTGGACCCAACTGGCACCCCAACGACCTGTTGAAAATAGAGAAGAATCCAGCAGTGCTTCTTCTCAGTCCTTTCAAGGACTCTTCGAACAGAACAGTCACTCTGTTCTAGCAAAGAACAAAGCAAAGTCCTAGCTATGACTTTAATTTAATCCTCTAGGAATGATACCTATGATAGATGTGAAAAACATCTCTCACATTTTGGATAGTATTACAATAAAAAGCTACAGTTTTTGTCTTAACCCCAGCTACTATCTAGAACTTATTTTATGTGTTTTTAATTAAAAAAAACTTAGAAAATACAGAAATACAAAGAAAAAATTTCTACTTTTCCAGATACAATCTATTTTTAAATTTTACTTATTTTTATTTTTATTAATTTTTTTTAACATTTATTTATTTTTGAGAGACAGAGAGAGATGGAGTATGAGCAGGGGAGGGGCAGAGAGAGCGGCTGACACAGAATCCAAAGCAGGCTCCAGGCTCTGAGCTGTTGTGACAGCACAGAGCCCGATGCGGGGCTCAAATCCACAAACTGTGAGATCATAACCTGAACC